TGCCAACCTTTCAGTTGGCAGCCAAGTGCTTTAACTGTTGAGCCACCAGAGCACCTTATTCAGAAATAGTGGTTTTTATGGTATTCTTACTCAATTTCTAAAACTAGTTGGTGTTTTAGATATATAAATTATTTTTTAAAAAATGGTATCATAATAATAATGTTGTTGTGTGTTGTTAAGTGCCATCAAGTTGGTTTTGACGCATAGCAATAAAAAGCACTAGTACAACAATGATAGTACCATTTATTTTTACCATATAAATGAGGATGCTTCAAAATTTTCTATAAATTCCATTTTCCAGGAACTTTCTGAAGCCCCCTCATATTTCATATGGACCTCACCAGATGGAATACACAGAACTCAAATTGACTACATCTGTGGAAAGAGACAATGGAAAAGCTCCATATCATCCATCAGTCAAAACAAGGCCAGGGACAGATTGTGGAACAGACCATCAATTGCTCATATGCAAATTCAGACTGAAGCTAAAGAAGATGAAAACAAGTCCACGAGAGCCAAAATATGACCTTGAATATATCACACCTGAATTTAGAGATCATCTGAAGAACAGATTTGATACTTTAAACACTAAAAAGACTGAAGACCAGAAGAGTTGTGGGATGACATCAGGAACATCATACAGGAAAAAAGCAAAACGTCATTAGGAAGCAAGAAAGAAGGAAAAGGTCAAAATGGATGTCAGAAGAGACACTGAAACTTGCTCTCAAGCATAGAGATGCTAAAGCAAACAGAAGAAATGAGGAGGTACAAGAGCTAAACAGAACATTTCAAAGGTCAGCCTCAAGAAGACAAAGCCAAATATTACAATGAAATGTACAAAGATCTGGAATCAGAAAACCAAAAAGGAAGAATACGCTTAGCATTTCTCAAGCTGGGGGAACTGAAGAAAAAATTCAAGCCTCAAAAAATATGAAAGGAATACACAGAGTCGCTGTAATAAAAGGAAACGGTTGATGTTCAACCATTACAAGAGGTAGCATATGATCAAGAGCCAATGATACTGACGGAAGAAGTCCAAGGTGCATTGAAGGAATTGGCAAAGAACAAAGCTCTAGGCATTGATGGAACAAAAATTGAAATCTTTCAAGAAAGTGAAGTGGCACTTGAGGCACTCACTCATCTCAGCCAAGAAATTTGGAACACAACTATCTGACCAACTGATTGGAAGAGATCGTATTTGTGCCCGTTCCAAACAGAGGTAACCCAATGGAATGCGGAAATCATCGGACAATATCTTTGATATACCATATGAGTAAAGTTTTACTAAAGGTAATACAGAAATGGCTACAAGCATACATTGACAGAGAACTTCCAGAGGTTCAGCCAGATTCAGATAAAGACATGGCATGAGGGATATCATTGCTGATGTCTGATGGATCTTAGCTGAAAAGAAAGAATACCAAAAAAAGTTTACCTGTACTTTATTGACTATGCAAAGGCTTTCTATTGTGTGGATCATGACAAACTATGGACAACATTGCAAAGTATGAATATTCCTGAACACTTACTGTGCTCAAGAGGAATCTGTACATGGACCAAGAGGCAGTTGTTCTAACAGAATATGGGAACACTAAATGGTTTAAAATTAAGAAAGGTGTGCAACAGGGTTATATTTTTTCACCATACTTATTCAACCTGTATGCTGAACAAATAATCCGAGAAGCTGGGTTCTATGACATCGGGATAGGAGGAAAACTCATTAACAACCTGCGATATGCAGATGATACAACCTTGCTTGCTGAAAGTGAAGAAGACTTAAAATATTTACTGATGAAGATCAAAAAGCACAGCCTTTGGTATAGATTGCATCTCAATGTAAAGAAAACAAAAATCCTCACTACTGGACCAATAAACAACACTCATATCAATGGAGAAAAGATTGAAGTTGTCAAGGACTTCATTCTTCTTGGATCAACTATCAACACTTAAGGAAGCAGCAGTCAAGAAATTAAACGAAGTATTGCATTAGGAAAATCTGCTGCTAAAGACCTTTTTAGTGTTGAAGAGCAAAGATGTCAGCTTGAGGATTAAGGTGTATTCAATATCCTCAATATCCTCAAATGTATGTGAAACCTGGACAGTGAATAAGGAAGACCGTAGAAGAATTGATGCTTTTGAGTTCTGGTGTTGGAGGAGAATATTGAAAGTGCCATGGGCTACCAAAAGAACAAACAGATCTGTGTTGGAAGTACAGCTAGAGTGCTCCTTGGAGGCCAAGACGGCCAAATTTCATCTCTCATACTTCAGACATTTTGTCAGGAGGGACCAGTCACTGGAGAAGTCATGTTTGGTCAGAGAAAAAGAGGAAGACTCCCAAAAAGATGGATTGGCAATATGGCAGCATCAGTGGACTCAAGCGTAGCAACAATTGTGAGGTTGGCCCAGGACTGGGCAGTATTTCCTTCTTTTGTGCATAGGGTCACTGTGACTCGGTACCGACCCAATGGCCCCTAACAAAAACAACAAATCTTTATAGGCATCCTGGTGCGGTGCTGTGGGTTAATGCACTGGACTGCAAAGTCAGTTTGAACTGCAGTGTTGGTGGTTCAAGCTCACCAGCTCACCTAAATACAACAACAACCTCATATTTCTAAAACACAAACTAGTACTAGGAACAGAGTCAGAACTGAGTCACAGAAGAAATCATTTCCAACTATAAATTGAGGAAACTCATCTTCCTCCTCTCCTAAATATGGAACAAGTTCCACTTTTCATCCTAAAAGGAATGAACACTGCTTAGACTGATGCTGTTGTTTTGCAATGAATGGGTAGAGGGAAAAAAAAATGAAAAGCAGGTCTTGCTGTCATCTGCTCAAAGGATGTGAAAGTAGTATCTGCTCTCTCTGTCTTGGGCTCTGCAGTGAGCAGCTCTGAGAAGGACAAAATGGGTTTAGATGAGCTTACTGTCTAAGAGAGTAGCTTTGAAGTCTATGATTTGGGAAATAATTTCCATACAAAATAAAAGAAGAGATTGAAAGTCAATATTGTTTACAAACACTTTCTAGTCAAGTCAGCTAAGTTCTGAATGAATTGGAACAAATTCTGTGCTTCAGCACAAGATGGATTTATTAGCAAAACAGTGAAAGGTACTTTGGTAACTGACAGACTGAAAACTGAGAAGGGTTCTGTAGTCTTCAGAGTAACAGCCTTGTTTGGTACATCCCATCTTCAACCCAAATTCAAAGCAGAGTGTCAAATACCATGGTTAAAGGGAAATAAAACAGTTTTCAGCAGCCTGCACCCAACTTCAGACCTCTCTATATGATCAAGTCACACAAGAGTAATCCTCCATGAAAAATACCAATAATGGAGGGAAAGCACCCTGATTTTTCTCTAAATTCCTAGTTACTTAAATTATGTCTTCATGAAACGACTACCTTCAATACTAACAAGTAAAGTGATTGTTGTTGTTAATGCTGTCGAGTCAGTTCTAACTCATAGTGACCCTGCAATAAGGTTTCCAAGGAGCGGCTGGTGAATTTGAACTGCCAACCTTGTAGTTCAAACCAACCTTGTGGTCCAGTGCATTATCCTGCAGCACCACACCAGGACTCCAACATCACTTGTTGTGATAGCAGCAAACAATTCATAAAGAGTGAATATCCTTTAAAAAATCATTCCATAAGATCTCAGAGGGAGCACGGGGGCTCTGTAAGATAAACACTGGACTGCAAACCACAAAGGGGTGGTTCAAGCCCACCAGCCACTCCATGGGAGAAAGATGAGGCTCTCTGATCCCACAAAGGTTTACAGCTTTGGAAACCCTACCCAGCAGGGGTGGGGAGCACCTGGCATGTGGGCCATATAAAGACCACAGAATCATTTGGTCTGGCCCTGCCAAAGCAAGCCCAGTTACAGCCATCACATTGTTTTTCTTATTGTTGTTAAGTGGTTTCAAGTCAGTTCCAACTCATAGTGACCCTGTTTCCAAGATGTAGCTGGTGAGTGAATCACTGAACTTACAGTTCAAACAGGCCTTGAGGCTGATTGCTTTTCCTAAGGCACTATACCAGAACTTCAGTTTATCACATTAGGGGTGAATTAATTAAATGTTTGATCAAACTTAGCAAGCGAATTTTTAAGTTGACAATTTTGTATGGCCCACAAATGATATTATAAATTTTGGCAGAAACAAGTTTTCCCACTCCTGCTGTACAGGGTCACTATGAGTCAGAACCAACTCAAAGGCACTTAACAACAAGATCTGAGAGCCAGTTAAAGGGAAAAGAGACACATCTAACTACTTCTAGAATATAAACAGTCTCTCTGACAATCAGTTCTTAGCTTACAAAACTTCCAGATGTGTATATATAGGATCAGGATTGTCCGGGAAGTAAATTATTTTCTCAGTATGTTAAACTTATCTTGCCATTTTGGGGAGTAGGGAAGGTTTGAAGGGCAGAAAACAAATTTTAACTTTTAAAGACATTTGAATCTTACTTGCAGTGTGGGATATAAGTGATTCTAACTTGAGGTAATAGATTTATTCCTTTTAAAATAGAAATTTTATAAACTGAATTATGTTTTAAGTGAGTCCTACTTAAAGGAATCCTGTAGTAGAAACTTCTTAAAAGCAAGCAATACTCTCTTCCTCCTCCAATTCATCCATATTTTTGTGTATAATCTTTGTATAATGTGATAAGTACTTATAGTAATTTAATAAATGTCTGAAAAAGTACAGGTACTTTCAGAAGGCCTGATATAATTAGTAGGGGGCTTTTTCACTAAGCTATTTAGCATTTGGTCCAATGAAAACTTATGCCAAGAAGAAAACATAAAGTTATGATTTCATTAACAGTGATGGATTTGATTGACACTATTGTTAATTGCCAGCAACCCTATATAGGGTTTCTGATGAGTGACTAGTGAGTTGGAACTGCTGACTTGCGGTCCAATGTTTATTCTACAGTGCCACACCAGAACTCTACTAAAAATAACATAAATTCTTTGCTAAGATACAGCCACCCACAAGAACTGACCTGCTTAGCACCTGGCTTCTGTTCCATAGGTGTCATGGTGAGCGTCTTGGTCTCTTTCTCATATCGGCAGTAGTATTTCATCCAGGCTATTCCCAAAGCCCCTACAACAACAGGTAGAAGTGAGCTGACAGAATAAAATGTTTTGGCTATGTGTAGTTTGTTCTTCATAGTCATCTTTCAGATCCAGCCTTTCACAGTTCCTAACCTACTGCACATATGGAGATCCTAACTTTCCTCATATCCACAATGCTTTCCATAACTGCTTTGCCTTACTGAAGTAGGGAGTCATTAGATTCATAAAGGAAAATCAAATAGCACAGAAGAGTTTGTATAATTATTATTTAGGAGATAAGAAAACTTGAATCCTCTGTAATATTCAGTGACTAGATGAGTTATGGTAGTGAAGTGGTTACGAATCAGACTGCTAACCTCAGGGTCAGCAGTTCAAAACTACCTATTGTTCCACAGGAGAAAGATGAGGCTTTCTGCTCCCATAAAGATTTATAGCCTCGGAAACCCTGTACAAGGTCGCTATGAGTTGGAATCCACTCCACGGCACATAACCACCACCACCACCACCAGGTGAGTTAGGCCATTTTCCTTGATCAGCAATTAACAACAAATACTAATATGCTATACTGCTGAAATCATGAATAATCATTGAGTACTTTAAGAGCAACCATGTGATCCTAAGCTAGCAGAAGGCATAGGGTATGGTGTTAAGGGTTAATGGTTTTTGGTATCTATAGACCTAGGAGCTCTGGTAGCGTAGTGGTTACGAATCGGGCTGCGAACCTTAAGGTCAGCGGTTCGAAACTACCAGCCGCTCCGCGGGAGAAAGATGAGGCTTTCTACTCCCGTAAAGATTTACACCCTCGGAAACCCTGTACAGGGTCGCTATGGGTCGGACCCGACTCGATGGCACTTAACAACAACAACAACAAGACCTGAGGTCTATCTTAAGCCTTCCACTTGGTGGCTGAATGACTTACAATTGGTGATGTACCTTCTCTAAGCCTCAGTGGCCTCATTTGTAAAATGGTATGTAAAAGGGGTATGATAATGTAGTTTCGAAGATTGAGTAAGACAGTAAAGATTAAGTAAAGCACTTAGGACCACGTTTGGCATATACTTGTATGTCAGAGTCCTGGTGTGGCACTCTGGGTTAATACGCTGGACTGCAAAGTCAGTTTGAACCACAAAGACGGTAGTTCAAGCTCACCAGTCACTCCTCAGAAACCCTATACAGGTCATTATGGGTTAGAACTGACTCGATGGCACTTAACAAAAACAACAAGATATATATCTGTCTCCTTTCTCCTATCTCCTTTTTGTCTCAATCTGCATTTTGAATTTCAGAGTTGTTCTTATCATCTGAGATTTTATATGGCACATCCTTGGCCTCCCCTCAAATTTATCCTTCCTTTGTAAAATTTATTTCATTGTTGTTGGTGAGAATATACATAGCAGAACATTCAATGGCTTCTACATGTACAATTCAGTGACAGCTTGAGTTACATAATCATTCTCACCCTCCTCTTCTGAATTGTTTATCCCCCATTAACATAAATTCACTGCCTTCTAAGGTTCTTATCTCAACTTTCAAGTTGCTGTTGTCAATCTGTTCTATCTCCTAGTTCATTGAGTAATGCCTGTGGTCTTAAAAGCTTATAAGCATCCATTGTTACATCAATTGTTCTCTATTAACCTGGAGCAACAGAGGAAAGAGAGTCAAGAATATTAGGAGGAAATGTAATGTGTGGTTAGTTGTCTGTATGAACAACTACCTCCTTTGCCTTGAGACCACAGACACTGGATGGCTCCTGGCTACCACTAGAACACTTTGATCAATAATTTTATAGAAGAATATTGATCAAAATGAACAAGAGAAGTTAGAATTCCTATGGATTCCAGACTTTCTGGAGAAACAGAGGCTGGATGAACCATAAAACTATTGCCTTGAGGAAATCTTTCATCTTTAAACCTTAAACCAAAAATATCCCCTAAAGTCTTCTTAGAACCAAACAGTACTTTAACTAGTAAGGAATGTCTGTCTTGAACATTGTACTCTTTTAAGATCTACCTTATAGAACCACCTGCCTTTTTATTTTCATTATTCCTAGAATATTCTCCAAAGAGCTGTATCTGCCAGAATTTTGTGAACATGAGTGGCAAGAGTTCAAATAGGCCAAGTGACAGTAGATGCAACCTGCTGAAACTCAATGAGTACCCCTGTATGCCCACATACATTTTTCTTGTGTATAGAGATAGCCCTCAATGGTCGGCTGTCCCGGTAGTTTGCAAGTCTGGGGAGCTTCTTTCATTCTTCTCTTAAGTTCCCCCATCTCTTCCCGGGTACTGGAGAAATGATTTCTTGTCTGTCAAGACATTATTTATAATCAATATCATCTAAAATAACATCAAGAATACATATTGGGGGGAAAAATACATATTGGTAAGAGACCTAGTATAGAGTTTTGTCTCCTTACATCATGTACTACAACATAGCAAAAGACAAATGTTAAACAATATCAACAACATCTATGGTGTTAAAGATGGGAAGGAGTCCTGGTAGGGCACTGTGGGATAATGCACTGGACTGGAAGGTGAGTTTGAGCCACAAGGTCGGTGGTTCAAACCCACCAGGTGCTCCTTGGAAACCCTATACAGGGTTATTATGAGTCGGAACCAACTCAACAGCTCTTAACAACAACAACAAAGATGGGAAAAGAAATATAAGTAACATTATATCCATAAAACAATAACCAGGAGATTTTTTTAAAATGAGAATTACTTAAGGCGCCAATAAATAACAGCTCTAGAATCCTAAACACTATCCTAAAATGGGGGCTTTACAGACGATAATAGTCACATGGCAACTTCTAAGTTCCACCTCAAATATAGCTACTAGTCTATTTTACCCTGAGCAGAGCTGGTGATGCTACAGGATAACCACAAAGTAGGCAGTTCAAACCACCTGTTACTCTTTGAGAAAAAGATGAGGCTTTCTGCTTGTTTAAAGATTTACAGCCTCAGAAACCCTATACAGGGTGGCTGTGAGTCGGAACAGACATGACAGTACCTAATAAAAACGCTTGACCCTGAAGCAAATCCTGGTCAATAGGATAAAAAATATGGGAGGATGCTCTCTTTCAATATAAACCAATAAAGAAGTTAAATTTGCATAGTCATAATATAAATATCAAATGCTAATGGTAAGAAAGAATTTATTTAAAACTGCACAATTGAAACACAGCTTGCAACATCTGTATGAGAAGCACTAGAGATAGGCCTCTTAGATTTCAGTCTCATGATAATCAGTGAAAAGGATGATCTGGGCTGCCCTATCTGTCCAGGCTCATTTTACAGATCTATGATCCTGAAAATGAGTCATCTATCTATATATCTATATCTATATCTATAAGGAGCTCTGGTAGCGAAGTTGTTACGAGTCAGGCTGCCAACCTCAAGGTCAGCAGTTCAAAACTACCAGCAGTTCCCCTTCTCTGCAGGAGATAGATGAGGCATTCTGCTCCCGTAAGACTTACAGCCTCGGAAACCCTGTGCAGGGTCACTATGAGTCGGAACTGACACCACGGTACTTAACAACAACAGCGTATCTATATCTATAGATGGAGTCCTGGTATGGCACTGTGGGTTAGTGTGCTGGACTGCAAAGTTGGTTTGAACCACAAGGTTGTTGGTTCAGCTCACCAGTCTCCTCCTTGGAAACCCTATGCAGGGTCACTATAGGTCACAACATACTCTAGGGCACTAACAACAAAAACATATATATAGATATAGTAAGTAATATAGACTTCTTGTTAAGCTTGTACTTGTCAAGTCATATTTGGTGAAATTTCAAGCGATTAATTTGGATGTAAGAGAATTTACAGGCCACCAGTAGAAGACAGGTACTCTCATAATCTAGAATAAACAAACAAAAATAAACAAACCAGACAAATACAAAAGTTAAGTTAAGATCCTCCTAAGCAATCAAGAGACTTATTTTCACCACTACTTATAAACTTTTTTCATATAAAAATGCTTTTTTTAAATAAATTTCATGTAATATAAGACCCTGTTCAAAGTCACCATCTCAGTGACAGCTTTTCTGACTCCACAAGGCAGTCAACTGTTTCATCCTCTGTGCTTCTTTAAACACTCTGGCCGTGACACTATGTAAAAATTACATGGGAGTATGTGGTGCTATAGGATAAGTACTATACCGAAAGGTTGGTTTGAACCATAAGGTCAGTGGTGTGAACTCACCAATTACTCCTCAGGGTCGATACACAGGGCCAAGATGAGTTGGAACTGACTCAATGGCACTTAACAACAACATGATTTGACTGTATTTACTACAGCTCTCTCTTTCATGATACTCTATAACCCTTGAGGACAAAATAAACGTACATGCCTCAATACCTTTCACTATGATTGATAAATAGTATTTTAAATTATATTCATTAAATATACATCAAAAAATTGTTAAATATGGAGTGTGAGACCTCCAGAGAAACAACGACACCAGAGATGAGGCCATGAAGAGTTGAGGACTCTGAACTCATGGAAAGAGAGGGACTGGGTACTTGGCAGCCAGGAGACAGGTTTGCAGAATGTGCCCTTGGTTTTTTAAATTATTACATATTCCTGAGTGTTTCTGTGTGCATCTCCCCCACTCCAAAAATAAAAAACAAAAAACACCAAAAAACAGAAGGAATGGAAGCAAATACTGTTGAATGATGATGTGCAGAGGAGATTGTAATCATTGCAATGAAAAGATGGTGTAAAGCCAATGTTCTTCTATGTAAACTATCACTCAGTTCACAATAAAAACTTAAAAAATGATAAAATAATATACAAAAGTATGACAAAACTGAGCCCGTCTATCAGTAAGAAATTGCTAGGTAAAACAAAGTGGAAAAAGCCTTCAAAAATAATTTATTTAACTGTCTAAGTTTAATCACTGGTCTATCAGTTTGTCAGACTGTATGCATACTGCATGCATAGCATGTTACTCTGATGCTGGAAGTCATGCCACTGGAATTTCAAATATCATTTGGGTCACCCATAGTGAACAGGTCTCAGAGAAACATCCAGACTAAGACAGACTGAGAAGGAAGGCCTAACAATTTACTTTTGAGAATCAGCCAATGATTATTCCATGGATTACGATAGAACAGTGTCCGATCAAGTGTGGGAAGATGATTCCCTTAGGTTGGAAGGCATTCAAAATATACAAGTAGCCACAATAACGGTCTCTAGCATTCCAAATATTATGAAGATGGCAAAGAACTGGGCAATGTTTCGTCTTTTTGTACATAGGATCACCATGAGTTAGAACCGACTAAATGGCTACTAACAACAACAATAAGTAGCAAAAACAAAAAAGGCAAAGAAATAGATGGAAAATGGGTATTCATATTAATAGGAACCACAATGAGAGTGTCTTGACTGACCAGGAGGGAAATAGCATAAGAACTAGGATTAAACAAATCCATATATGGGCTACAATCTAAGAGAGATGTAGATTAGCAATATTTTATAAATACTGGTCAGATGGATGGGTTTGTGGGTGAAAGGGTGGGCTATGACAGACAACAGTCTGCCTTCAAAATAGGGGCAAATTGAAACAAGAAAAGCAAGAACAGAGCAGTACAATGAAATATCTGTGATCCACACCAGCATGTATGACCTAAAATTCCAAGGTCAAGATGACAGGGCTTCATTTCAATTTAAATGGAGAGGGAGATATGGAAATTTACATGCAAACTCACATTCTGTAAGCTGAGCAGTAGCTGTTGTTTGTATGGGAGGAAATCCTGTGTGAGCTCCACAGTTAGACTGTTGGAAATGAAGAGGCTGTGAAGAAAAGCCAAGACCTAGGGAAAATGTGTAAAAACAACTTTATCACTGACACCTTCTTATTAGTTAAAGAAAAACTGAGCACAGAAATAAAACTCCATACAGTTTTAAGCCAGAAAAATATTAAAAGCAGTCATGTGAAATACAAACAGGTCTACATGTAGCTATTATTCTCATATAGGTTAAATGTGTCCACTGGATTCAGTTTAAATAAATGAAAACTATGAATAAATTTGTTCATTCAGATATTTTTCATGCAAAGTTATTAATAATTTAGGTAATATATGAATGGACTATCTCCTTTCTCTATATATGTTTAGTACTGGCAGTAGGTGACCAATAAACACTTGTTGAATGACTAGGTAAGTAAATGGATAAATTAATGAACTGAGAATCTGTGCCTGGATGAAGACTGTCATAATGTTAAAAAAATAAGAGTCTGGACCAATTTTTATATTAGCAATACTTTGGGGGGTGAAGAAGACATAGAAATGACCACTAAAGTACTTTTTAATTTCAAAATGTTCAACCTCATTAGACATCAAATACACACAAATTAAAAATAACATACTATTTCCATCTATCAAATTACAAACATTTAAAAAATAATACTCAATACTGGCAAAAGAAAAATGTAATAAACAATTGCTGTCAAGTTAACTCTGACTTATGGAAATTCATGCTTTTCAACACAGAACTGTGCTTCACAAGATTTTCTATGGCTGTGATCTTTCAGAAGAAGATCGCCAGCCAAGCTTTTGTTCTGAGGCACCTCTGGGTATATTCGAACCACCAACATTTTGGTTAATAGCCAAACACTTAACCATTTGCACCACCCAGGGACTTAAAAATGTAATAGATATTAGTAAAAATTCTAGAAAGCAATTAGGTAGGCACATATAAACCATATAAACATGTACATTCATTCTATACACCCACACACGACTAATAAGTACATACATGTGTGCACATGTGTTTATATACATAAACATACAAAAATTATGTGTACTACATACATGAGGGGGCTTCAAAATTTTTTGGAAAAAATGAAATTAAAATATAATGGAATTTTTCTGTGCATTTTTGAAGCCACCTCATACATATGCTGTTGTTAAGTGTTGTAATATTAGTTCTGACTCATAGCAACCATATGTACAATAGAACAAAACACTGCCCAGTCTTGCAATATTCTCTCAGTTGTTATGTTTGAGTCCACTGTTGCAGCCACTATGTCAACCCATCTCATTGAGGGTCTTCCTTTTTACTTCGGCCATCTACTATACCAAGAATATCCATATAGTAATCCAATCCATCAATAATTCCTGTCAGTTTTGTATCCAAAATACATCTCTAATTCAATCACTCTTTTCTATTTCTACTATCAGCACCCTAACCAAACCAACATCTTCTTTTGCCTGAATCACTACATTAACCACCTAACTGATTTTCTCACTTCCATTCCTGGCCACTTCCAAGCCATTCTCAACACAACACGCACTGGCTCATGGCATACATTCACACCCTTCAGTGGTTTTCCACTGCACTTTGACAAAAATACAAACTTCTTACACGAGGTCTACTGGTCCTACACCCGCCTATCAGAATATCTCCTGCCATTCTTATTTACTCTCACCAGTATCTAAGTATACTTAGTATATTCATTGAGTATATTGGTATTTCCTGTTTAAGCTCTATACACACGTTTCCTCTTAATGTTCTTTCCCAAATACTCCTATGCTTGCATATGCTCTTACTTTATATCTAAGATTAAATGTCACTTCTTCAGAGGTCTTTGATGACTACCTGATTTAAAGTAGCTATCTATTCTATTCTTTATTTTAATTCCTTTGGGTTTTCCTTTAATAACCTTCAATTACTTAAGCTATCTCCATCTCCCCCCCCACCCCCATTTGTGTCTATGCCAAAAGACTGCAGGCTTCATAAAGACAGAAATTAAACCTATTTGGTTCACTACCAGTGTTTCTACCACTTGTCTTGTCAGTTTGTCACAATATCAGATATACTGCCAGAAGATGAGTCCCTCAGTTTGGAAGGCACTCAAAGTAAGACTAGGGAAGAGCTGTCTCCTCAAAGTAGAGTTGACCATTATGATGCAACTGGAGAAACATATTCCCACCTTCATTTAGTGATGGGGCAAAACTCAAAATGAGGAGAAAAAGCTGCAAGCATTTATTAACAATTGGAAATTGTAAAAAATTGTAAAACAATAAAATGGAATGCATATTCTAGGCATTAATAGGCTGAAATGAACTGGTATTGGCCATTTTCAATCTGACACATACATGGTTTACTATGGCGAGAATAACAAATTGAACAGGAGTGGTATCATATTCATCATCAAAAAGAGCATTTCAAGGAGAACAAACAAGATGGAGATCGGGTGGCCGTATAGCAGAGAGCTCCACCAACAACAACACAGAATACCCGACCAAGCAGGCTCAGGGGATGGTCCCAGAACTCTGAACCACATATAAAGGAATACTTAAAAGGTTGGAAGGCTCACAGCTGGGGGAATTTGTGGCAGAAGCAAGAATCCTATTGCTTTCTAGTCCGGGA